CCATAACCATATTTGTAATTGAACCTGTATCCCATATTCATCACTGCGGTAAAACAATAAATTACTCTAAGTGCATCGTCAGTTGATGCTTTATTAATAAGACACATATCACCCATATAACCCAAAATTAACTATAAGTGGGCATTCTGTTTTCTACAAAGACTGGTTTTCAAAAGGTGTTAGAGTTGTAAATGATATGTTAAAGGTTTCAAATACAGTCACTTTCTACTATTTTAATGAATTTTCTGAAAAATATGGTATTGTCACAAATTTTCTTAGGTTTGAAGGAATCTTAAACTCTATTAAAAAGAATACTGATCTGCATATGAATGAAGATTCAGATTTTTCTTTGCCTTTTATTCCTTGCAACATGAACCTTTTTTCCTACGGGCAAAAGGGACAAATGATATTTATAGATATTTTGGAAAAAATAATGAATTTCCTACAGGTAGAAAGAAATGGGCTGAACAGTTTAACTTTGAGGGATCCACTTGGGCAAATATCTTTTCTTTACCTTTTAAAATTACTAATAATTCTAAGCTTCATTGGTTTCAGTACAGAGTCTTACATTACACTTTGACTACAAACTTATTTCTGTATAAGGTGAAGAAAGTTGATAGTCCACACTGTACTTTTTGTTTGTCTGAGACTGAAACTTTAACACATGTATTGTTGGAATGTAAAAAAGTCAAGAATTTTTTATAAAGTTTAGAAATTCTTTTAGAAGCACTACTAATCCCTTTTTCTGTCAACAAGCAGTCCTTTTTCTTTGGTTTCTGGCCACTTAAAAATTTGTACAGCAAAATTGATAATGAAATTAATATTATCATTAAACAGTACCTATACAATTCAAGATGCTTTAAGAACTCTCTTGACATACATGCACTGATAAATACCATTAAGGATCATTATAAGGTTAAGAAGTATATTGCAACAGCTAAGGGAGATTCTTATTGAGAAGAATTCAATGAAGAATGGAGAAAATAGAATAAAATATTACTTCTTTGAACCTATTATTATTTTATTAATCTATTTTCCCCATAATTTTGTGAAAACATGCTTTTTCATTTTCCTCCCCTTGGCCTTGGCAGTATTTGATAAAATTAAAATACTTGTAATTTTTATCAGGTATAGTTAAAAAAAAGTTTTATCCTATTCATATACAAAGTGTGTCTTAACCAGACCATCTCTCTTTCCCCCCTCTTTGTTCTTCCCCCTTTCTCTCTAATAAATAAAAAAAAATCATCACATGTTTCGTTTTGTATTTGTCTATTTCATTATATCTAGGAACATTTATCTTACAGTGATATAGTTACAGCTGTTAGTCACTTACTTGTTATGAGTCCATACTAGTTTATGGAGAAATTACTGAAATTAGCATGTCTATGTATGTATGTATGCTTGATGATGTTGACTGTGTCTAAGAATCTGCAGCATCCTTAAGCATGGGGGTTAAAGTGTGTGAAGAAGCTGATAATGCGGATGTGTGATACTGCTGTGTGATGCTGCTAATGTTGGTATATATGATGATGTTGAGGTGTGACGATGCTGATTTTGGTATGTGATAATGAGGATGTGTAACGCTGCTGAAGTGTGATGATGCTAATGTTGAAAGGTGACCATAATGATGCTGATGGTATGTGATGTTGCTAATGTGTGACGAGGATGATGATTGCATATGATGACGTTGATGTCAGATGCTGATTTGTTTGTATATGTAATAATGCTTGAGTACTAGTATGGCTGCAAGTTATAAATATATGTTTAGAGTAATTGTGTTACATAGTGTCTATGATAGTTAATATATAGTGTGTAACTCAAAATGCTGTGTGTTTAGTGGTGAAAATGATGCATGATTATACTCTATAAGTGTGTGACGGTGGGAGTTATAGACTGATATTTTATATGAATCTATTTATTCCTCATGTGTTTTTGGATAAAAAAGACACATATCACGTAACACATGTAATATTATCGATGTGTTAGTGAGTTTTACGTCTTCGCAACAGCAAGAGTAGAATACGAACGGATGTCTTGGTAGCTTCCAATATAATAAGCAGAAGGCAAAGACGAGGAGAACCCTCAAAATTAGTCGCATATACGATATGCAGCGAGGTACAGCTGGCAATTCCTTTTCCCGCATCTGCACTGACGTGGATCAATATGTTGACCTGGATATTATTCATTATTTTCTCAATATTTATTCGAACAGGTAAACAAAACCGTAGTTGACACTTTGAATCGATTCAATCAGAGCAAACCATAACAAAGACTTACAGAAAGATCATTGAAAGAGAAGAATATGACCAGATGTTTCTGAAAGGTACAGACCTCTGGTTCTCGGATTCTTCTAATGATATATTGGGTTTAACTATTATCATACTTCCATATTGTTCACCAACCTATATCTCTCAAAATTCTGTCTTGTGAATTTGTTTTTCAGTTGCCGAAATATTGCAGGTAAATTGTGATAATGGGAACAAGCCCTTGAATATTGAATTCTTGCGACATGTCGACAGCATAGATTGAGAATAGGGGATTGTTGCTTTCCAAATGTAGAAAATTCATAACATTAAGATAAAATCAACCTCTACTACTTTGAAATTAACATGCATTTGCCTTTATATTACAAGCAATAACTCAAAAAGGGGAAATAATTTGATTCATGGGTACAGAATCACATTCATAGTGATTTGTTTAATACAATATTGCAGATGTTGATAAAACTGGTTTCACAAACCTTGCCATGTCTTTCGTTTCACTTTCACTTTCAGATATATTGATGACATCTTGTCTTCAAAATAACAGATTTATTGATCAAGTTCATCGTTGTTTGGTCTCGGGTGAAATGATGGGGACTACGTTTCATCCAAAGTCACACACTTCTGCAGAAAGTTAACAGAATCTTCCTCTAAACATTCAAATTAGCACGCGACAAAAGTCCACCCAGTGTGCTCCTTATGCAAATATGGTAAATTGTGTAAAAGTAACTTGCCATGAACTGACCAAATGTTACCAGTCTTCGGGTATACAGCCTTAATTAATAAGGAAACAGTAGAGATGGAAAATATCATCCCTGCTTATCTTTTTCAATACATGACTGATAACAAATGCATCCAGCTTTATATCGCACAAAGAAATAAAACATTTCACAATGAGATCATTATGACGAACGTAGAACTTTCCCGTGATCTTCCACAAACACCGAAAGACTGTGTTGCGAGTTTGTCAGTTGCCGACATCCTCATCGGATTTTTTTAATCAGGAACAAATCCTAGAATCAACTACATACTGAAACCATTTTTAGTTAGGGAAACATGGATATTTCTGAAATGAAAACAAAACCACAATAGGGAAGTTGAAATCACTCTTATCATGTTTATCAGACATGGTGAAAAACTCTCAATGTTAATGCTGTGGTAGAAAAGATGATATGTACGAGTCTGTCATGTCGTTGATTTCCATTTTGTCGGAATATACGATGAACATCGTCAACGAATTTCTAGGAACTTCAAGAGAAGACGCCATCAATATATCTGAAAGTTTGTTACTTGTTTCGGTAAGCTCTTCGATAAATTAGTCTCCTATGAATGCTCAACCATGTTATCTGACATGATTTGGTCAATCAAAACTTAATAAATAAAAACCGGGTGCAAGCCTTTAATGATTACATGTTGTAGTTGATTCGATACCCGTGAACCTGTTCCCATTATCATGGTCTTCGTGCAAGAGATCGTCAACTTGTCAAATACGTAATTCAGGGTTTCAAAATATGAAGGTAGATGAAAATTATGATAAGCTTTACAGTCGTCATAGTGATCTTATTAAGAAATATCTTATTTCTTTGTGCGGGTATGAAGCTGAAAATATTTTATGCTCGTTAGTTTGCCTGGTAGTTCCGTTGTTGTTTAACTGGTCCTTATTTGAGAACGTAACATTACTAACTTGAATCGATCAAATCAAAGAATTGGAAGATGTTAACTGTTACAGAAAACCTGGTCTTTTTTCCATGAATCTCCGTGTAAATCTTCATTTCGTTCATATTTTGTTTCATTGAATTTGATTTTGTATCATGATTATATCGACATGACTTTTTGTCGAAAACTTTATGTGTATAGCTATGACTGAGCACTGTTATTCCACTCCGAACTGCAATATTTACTTGCGCAGAGTATGCAAACGAATCTACAAAGTCTTGTATACTGTACATATTAATTTGTTTTTATTGTTATCAATAGAGATAATAAGTATATGATAAGATACATGGACATATAATATATTTTCTTTTAACTATAGAGAGTGCAATATACTTAAGCGGATAGCAATCCGGATATTCCTAAATGAATAAGAAAACTCTACGTTTGGTACCAAACGTAATAGTATAAATACTTAACTGCCGCAAATATTAGGTTGTTACATGAACGCTTCTTTCTGGTATATTATTATTAGAAGTACATAAATACACGACCTTAACTATCTGAACTTCAAACCTCATCCTGTTACAGAGAAACTGTTTTCCGTTTGTGCATGTGTGTGCGGCTTTATCACAAAATAGGGCAGTAATGAGAGAAGAATGTATCTCTGATACACGTAACAAAGTTGATGCATCATTCTCTATTATCAATTCATTTTCTTCTGAAAGAAGCTCGGTTAGCTTTCAGCCCTAACTTGTGACTCAACATTCATTTTCTGTTTCCATGTAGTATCATCCAAATAGCCAAAAAGTAGCTTCATATTAAAGAATGCAATGAAAAGGATAGTTTTGATTTAGGTCTTTCAGTTTAAGGCTTATATCAAATTCCAAATGCAATTGACGCATACCCGTCCAAATGTTAACTAAGTGACAATGAACCTGATCATCAAGGCGGCAGACCGGGAGACTAGAGGACCCAAAACTTCATTAGGAGTGCGAGTACCACCAAACAGAGGGTTCATGGGCGATCTAACCATAACAACGATGGATCCTGTCAGCACTCGAGGAAACAGTTGGATGGGCAAGGATGAAGTTTAAATCAAGGAAATCTCGATGTGTTGTGATAAAGAAAGGGAAAGTGACCAGAAAGTTCAAGCTCTCGATACAGCAGGAGGAGATCCCAACAATCGTAGACAATCCAATCAAGTGTTTAGGAAAGTGGTTTGATGCTAGCCTAAACGACAGCAAGAATATCAAACGTTTGCAGAACCAGTTGGAAGAAGGTTTGAGGAGAATTGACAAATCAGGACTGCCCGGTAAATTCAAATCGTGGATGTACCAACACGGGCTCCTACCACGCCTCACGTGGCCTCTAACCCTGTACGAGGTTACCACTACCACAGTGGAAATCCTGGAAACGAAAATAAGCAAATGTCTACGACGTTGGCTTGGAGTCCCCCCAAGTTTCACCAGTGTGAGCCTTTACAGCACCACAGGCAAATTAAAACTCCCATTATCATCGCTGGTAGAAGAGTTCAAGGTGGCAAAGGTTAGGCTGGTGATGACTGTTAGAGACTCCAAAGATGAGAAGATCCGGAATGCTGGAATTGAGACTCGAACAGGACGCAAGTGGTCAGCAAGCCGTGCGGTACAGGAAGCAGAGAGCAGGCTAAGGCACAGCGACATCGTTGGGACTACCTGTATAGGCAAACAGGGGTTAGGGTCAACGCGGGTGGAAAGGTGGGGAACAGCAGACACGGCTGGTAGGAGGAAGATGGTTCAAGATAACATCAGGAAGATGGAGGAAGAGATCAGGAAGGTTAAACCTGTAGAAATGGGAGCACAGGGAGCATGGACCAAATGGGAGACAACGGAAAGACGTCTTACATGGGCAGATATCTGGAAGTTGGAACCATGTAGAATCCAGTTCCTCTTGCGATCAGTGTATGATGTCCTACCAACACCTACCAATCTTCACCAATGGGGGATGACGGAAAACCCCAACTGCCCACTGTGTGACCAACCGGGTAACCTGGCCCATGTATTGTCATCGTGCAACACCGCTCTGACCCAGGGGAGATATACATGGAGACACAAAAGGTACTGCGAGAGCTAGCAGACACCCTTGAGAAGGACAGGCAGAAAAAGAGAAAATGTACCAAACATCAACCGTACATCAACTGTGTAAGATCTGGAGAGACAACCAATAAGAAAGCAGTGCACCAAGGAGGGATACTGGATGGAGCAAACAGTTGGGAGATGCGGGTTGACTTAGGACAAAGACTAGTTTTCCCAGAGGTCGTCCAAACCAACCTTCGTCCAGATATCCTGCTATGGTCACAGCAAGGGAAGAAAATGGTAATGATTGAGCTAACTGTCCCCTGGGAGGATCGATGCCAAGAGGCTCATGAGCGGAAGAAAGGGAAGTACGCCGATCTTGCAGACGACGTGAGAGCAAAAGGATGGAGTGTGTGGGTCTTGCCAGTAGAGATGGGGTGCAGAGGGTTCCCTGCACAGTCCATGTGGAGGATGTTTTCTACACTAGGCATCCAGGGAAGAGACCGAAGGGCAGTTGTTCAACGACTATCAACAACAGCAGAGAAGTCGTCCAGCTGGCTTTGGTGGAGAAGAGAAGATTTGAGCTGGAAGCCATCCATCGACGGGCAGTGATTTGGCCAATCACTGTCGACTCGCCACCTTGAGGACGTCCCAGGATAGGAGTCGAAACGTCCAGTGAGAGGTGGTCCTGGCTGATGACGTGTATGGATTCTGCAGTCTAGCAATTGTTTTAAGGTAATTACACAAAGTCTGTTCCAAGTGAATATAAATATATATCCTTGGGAGATGTTTTTTATAATTTGACCTTAAGGTTCACCGAATCAAGTTTCGGTAGTGTTATATATACATTGTATACGTCTATAGTACAATACTGGGAATGAACTATCACGTCTTACTATATTGAAAGGTTCGAAAGTGCAGTGCATTACACAATAGTTTTAAGATAGTATTATACTCGTAATATGCAATATTAAATACCACCATCTTGGTAGTTATGATAATGATATTTGGTTTTCAAATAGTCAACATGATAATTATAATTAAATAGTTAGATTTCTTTATTTTTGCCCATGCATTTGATTTCGGGGAAGAAATTGATAAAGATTATCAGCTTCAAGCTAACGCTAGTCGACACTCGCTGTTATGTCTACCACCCATCGCTGGTTTCATGGGAGGCTTATAAAGTAATAAAGATTAACTTTTTATAACAGTTTTCCATTGACAGTAAATGCTGACTATCTTTTCAATGCACATGCAATTGCAACATTTATTAGAAAGCTGTACTCATCATTTCATGGACATCCCCCCAACTCTCTCTTTATTTCTCTGTTTTTCTCTGTACGTGTGTTTTTGTGTGTAACTGCGTGTGTGAATCTGTGCATTTAGTTGATACCAAGTCTTCTCCAGTAGTATTTGCATATACCCATGTGTTGTATTCGCTTCCGTCTTCCTTCCTTGGTGCGAGTGTGTGTGGTAGATATATGTTGATGATTGTGTATATTTTGATATGTATGAGTAATACTGATGATGTATGTGTATGTTTGATGTATGTGCATCTATGAATGGGTGATGATGATGATTCCACTTGAGTGTATGGTTGTTGATCAGTGTAATGTACTTGTATTAAAAATCTTTGAAAAAAAAATATAAAAAAATAAATAATAATAAAAAAAGATATATAAATAAAAAAAAAAAAAATAAATAAATATAAAAAAAAAAAAAAAAATGGTTATGCAAACTTTAAGATATCATAATTAACAGAACGTACACATTTTTAACAGATATTTAAATGTTACAATTTTTTTCAGTTATGAAATGAATATCTAACCATTTAGTCCCTGTAAGACAGTATCAGGAAAAACCTCTCATATAACCTTAATAGGTTCAAACGACAGACATTCCGATGATGTGCGCCTACCAATGATTGCCATGATATTTTCGGCACGTGCTAGTTTTGATCTAAAATTGTGAGTATGAGTACACATACCAGTTCAACGTAAGAACCGTATCTCTGATTTTATTTTTTCGATCTTAAGTATCTATTGTTTCATTCATGACCCACAATGTGCTTTTTATCCCCAAGTTCCTACCTGCAATTATGTGCAATTGGAAATATTGCATAATTCTATAGATCAAAGATAACGTTTTCACATAAATATATACATAGGGGTCTTGTTGACTCGAAGGACTCAACAGAAGTAATAATTTGTCTTAGACAATAGATGAGGAATAGATCACGGATCAATATGTTTGTAAAGCTCCTATACTTATGATTTCACAAAACGTAGGAAAATACAAGCATTTTTTTTATTACACACTCGACAGAATCCTCTAAAATAGTAGTCAGTTCTCTGTAAACATATACAATTGAAAATTATCTTGAAGTGCACTGAAATTAGAAAAGTTTAAAATAATTCTTGATGTATTAATACCAACAGATTAATGCTAGACTGATCTTAACTGGCATCCAGGGTACTGAGGGGTCGGCAATATGCCAGCGAAGTATAGATTATAATTCTTGTGATGGTAACCATTGATGAAAATCTACTTAAGATTGTATAACGATGATGTAAAATAGATTGGCTATACATTAAGTACTTATCATCAGTTTTTCAACACCAGTGGCTCAACATCATCATTTCAACAAACTATTAGCAGAAAATTACAAATATAAGTTTCCCTCGAGCATCCAGTTGGTAAAAGCTTTAATACCAAAATTTGCATTTAAACCCCTCCCATTCCATTTTGACTCCCAAATTTAACACCATTTATACACTCTGATGTTATAAATTGTATACCATATGCAAATGAGCAAACAGCATGCTTCTTCATGCTAAAATAAGCCTTATCACTTGAAGATCACAGAACAACCCGAATTGCCTTCCTTAAATGTTCTCTCCTCTGTTCAATTAGTAAGGACCAAACATCATATGCAGAAAAAATTTAATATGAAATTCATTTTGTTGTTTGTCTCCTTGATTTTCCGGAGAATTTAGAAATCTATCAATACAAGTTTTATAAGATTATCCAAAAGTTACGTGAACACACACATGTAGAACCTTTCAGCAGGAATTTAGAAGTAGATACAGCAGATTCAGATGATGGATCAAATTGGATCATGTGGTGCAAAGCAGCATTTCTCTCTACTATTTATAATTCTAAATTTGTATTGAATGCATCGAGATGTACTCAGGTTCTAAAGATAAAGAAAGAGAAAAAGTGCATGAGATCATATGGTATTAACCTTCCCCGTGTGTTTTCTATCTTGTTATAAAGAAATTAATGGCATAGCGAAGGAATTCGATATAGCGTGTTAATAGTGTTGTGCTTTTTCATATTGTACATTTAGTACGTTATATTCAACATTGACTCTGATATTAAGCATAGATTCGGTAACATTCGATTACTGGAATATTAACAATTTGAGAGGCATTATGTATATATAATGTTTTGTTTTAATACATGAGTATTTGTATTCATACATTAAATGCTTAGTCAGAATGTTTATAGTTTTGCGAGACGGGCATGTATCGTCGTCATACAGCAATCCGCCTGATACAGATAAATCAATGACGTGCAGTAATGAAAGAAATCTACTTAAATCTTTGCACGATATGCGAGACATGTATTGGTGCTCCGTTGCTGCACATTGCAAGTAGAAGTTGAAGCAGTGAGAGAAGCGGTATATAACCTCGATAAGGAGTATAATATTTTATTGGACTAACCTGTCAAGTAGGGGTAATTTCATTGAAAACATTAGTCAATACAGCCCACCTGAACTAATATCTTGACAACTACGTAACCTTCGGCCTTCATTGCTAGGTATCGATATTCCTTTCATACAGGTATGCACATATACATGCACACATGTTATGGTAATGCCACACTCGCTGATATACTTCGAATCACTTAACAGTCATAAGAACGTAGCATAGGGATAGCTTTAAAAACTGTAACAAAAAATGACACATTCTTGCACGTGTATCACATTCCAGAATATATAACGACTACCACAGATCTGCAAATTAATAGTTGTCGAACACACTTGTACATCAAATACTCATGAAATGTTATTTATTTGATAAAATAAAGTTATATTTCATGCACACCTCGCATGTTTATATTTACATGCACGATCAGTCCGCCAGTTATCAAAACAAAGATGGCATATCCTCAGCCAATAAAGATGTTCACTAATAGATAAAGGTTTGTGTGAATAGAGGACCAGTAGTAGCAGTCAAAACTCAGTATACTATGGTGTTAACATGCTGTGCAGGCAGGCTCGGTATCAGTCAGAATGCTGTTGTTAAAGTCTTATCTGATTTACAACGTGAGCCAATCAAATGGGTCGTCACACTTATATACTGGTCAACACAGTTGGAGCAGGATTCTTCACACTGTCAGTGATGGTTGTACGTGTAGCAGCGAGTAATTACAGAAACAGCAAGTGCAATATTGTATTCATCATGTTTCAAATGAAATTAATAAACTCTAAATAGGATGTCGATCAATTTGTCGACAAATGTGCTGAGCATTGATGAGAAGGGTAGTATATTAGGAAATTGGACTGCGACTACCAATACAGATACATATGGCTTATTCATTCATCCACACTGGAAACAGTTTACGGAAATAAAACAGGAAGTACATGTCTTTTGTGGGATTTTGGCGGTGATAATAGGAATAGTAGCTGCCATCGGTAATATCCAGGTGATATCACTATTTATAAGGTAGGTCCACTAATTAATCCTGTATGTAAGTACTATTATTAAACTTTTCGTCCTGAAAAAGATATTCCATTATCTTGTAATCTGGCTTTTCATTTGTTATATATGTTTCTTTATCGTTTAAATGTTTCTCCAGTGCATGCATTGCTTTTTTGTCATTTAAGTTTTATTTGGTATATATATATCCTGTTTCCTTTCATTCATATGTTTATCCGGTACATATACCATTCACTCTATTCACTCAGTTGGATAATCAGAATGCTCCATAACCCCAGGGAAATGTGATTAGGATTGCAAAGACGAAGCTTGTTGAGAGTTTAACTAAATGATT